CCCCCACACACAAAAAGAAACAAATTACAACAAAACCCAAAACAATCAGGAAAAAGAACAAACGACATGTACCCTCTTTTGTAGCCTGACAAGAATGAGATTGAGGTGATTTGATTGTCTAAGGATTTTTCTGCCTATGCTAGGATATTGGGCGTTGCATTTGAGTCTTTAATTAGATTGCAGTTCTATGGCAAAGGGTAAGATAATACACTTTATGTACCACGCCCATCCTTTCGAAGTTCGCCGTCTGATTTGTATAACAATGTGTTTTTTTGCAATAATGGTTCTTAGTTTCGTGCTTGTTTTAAAGTAAGCACTTTTGTGTCGATTTTTAGGGTGGAGGGGGCATAAAACATCTTTAATTGCAAATATAGAAGAAGGCAGTTTTACTTTTGTAAATATTTTAAGATAAGTTTGTTGTAGTGGTCGATCTGTGGTCTTCCATTTAACACATTTTCTGTGAGAATGAATTTTTTTCTTTATGCTCTGCCCATTTCTGTCATCTGGCGCTTTTGTGTTTAGTAGTTACAACAAAATGTGCTGCATTTTTCGACTTTAAAATTAGCTGTTAGTTTTGGAGTAAACTCACAGGAATAATGTTTTAAATATGAATAGAATAAACAGATACACACTGTCAGAATAAATTAATGCAAGTTATTTCTATCTCCCTAGTCAGTCACGAGGTGGGCAAGCAAGGCCCTGTCCCATCCCATTGTGAACTTTCCTTTTTTATGTCTCTAAATTATTCTGAATATCACACATGGTCACTAAAAAAATATTGCTCTCCAGAAGAGGTGTTTTATCGGTGCATTTTTCTATTTTTAAGATCAACCCCCCCCTCCCCCGTACACACGTACACATGCATAAAATGTAGTTGAAATCGGTACACAAATGTGCTACACTTTTTGATGGGCCTTCTAGAGCAGGGCCCCAATCCCACCGTGTGCTCAGCTGTTTGATTTCAAATAATTTATGAAGAAAAGTCACAGAGCCCAGCACTTTTAACAGCATGCCCCCTTCACTCACGATCTGAACGATATAATATGGGTTTTCACTTAGTTTCGCCCTGTAGGCCTTCTTATTGTTGTAGGTAGCAACAATAATATGCATGTATTTTCGAGATCTCTGTTGTAACAATCCCCTCCACCCCAAGCCTCCCTGCTCCCCCCCTCCCTTTTTTCCTTTTTTGTTTGTATCTCCTCCATCAGTGTCTCAGTCAAAATGTTTTCAACATTGTTTAAGTTGCGTATGGTTATCGTTGGTGTGAGACTCTAGCCACGTATCCGCTTAGCGGGTGGTTGGCGGGTGCTCTGGTGTGGTTTGCTCTCTCTTTCCCATCAACCGCATGTCATCTTGATCTCACCTATCCTCCTTCTTTTTTAATTATTTTTTTTGTGTGGCTCTCTTGGTAACACCTCTAATCTTCAGCATTTGTATGACCTAATTGTGTTGCAAGTACCGAAAAACGTTTACTTAAACGATAAATATGATTTCTGCGAATCTGTTTTGTTTTCTCCCAATCCCCTTAGCCTAAAGCTGTGCATTTGCTGCCCTTTAACTTCCCTTCATCCCAATAGGAATTTCGTAATTATCTTTCTTCCCTTGGTTTTTATTTTGTTGTTGTGAGTTTCTTTGGTATGAACTGTTGTTTCTGCACATTGATTCATGTGCTCATGTCTACTATGACGGCTATGAAGTCAGCTGGAATGTCTATTTGTATGTTTTCTTTTGATGTTGGTGAACAGTATGGATTGTGAGTGGTTGGTCGGTGTTCTGGTGTGGTCTTCTCCTTCTTTCCTATCAAACATCTATCGTCCTTATCTCTCTTCCTTCTTTTTTTTGTATTTGTTACCCTCTTATAACATCTGTTCTGTACTTATATTAGCTTATTGTGTTGCAAGTGCCGTAGAACACTTACTAAAACTAAAACAGTATGGATTGGAACTTTCTCAAAATACGAGTTTCTGAATCGTGCCATAGAGTGATAGTTAGGTATGTTAACCTTTTGTTATTGGCAGACATATCGGTACTTATCCGCACCTCTGTGCGGCTTGTTGTGTGTTTGGCG